ATATAAATCGAATCTGTCGAATTAACTGCTTGACGGTCCATATTTTCTTTCCTCGGAGCTTAAACTTTATAAGCGCCCAAACATTTTCAATTGGATTTGCATCTGGCGACTGTGAAGGCCAATCCAGTACGTCAACGTCATTTTCTTGTTTCCACGCAGTACAAAGTCTACTCCGATGTTTCGGATCATTGTCCTCTTGCAGTAGCCAATTTTCATTTTTCCTTGTAAACCACCTTTGGGCAGATGGTAATAAAACTCTCTCATATATTTGGACCATTTTAGCAGCATCCAAATTTTGTGTAAAGATGTGTAAAGTGCCAAATCCCTGTTATGAGAAAAACGTGTACCTTTACCGGATGTTTAACGGTCCGCTCGATGAGTCTATTGGCCTGGGTAGACCAGACACGTCTGATAGAAGACTTTGCCCAAAACGGAGCTTCATCTGAAAAAATTACGTTGCTCCAATAGCGGTCCAAATTTTCTTTTGCCCAAGCAAGTCTTTTTTCGACGTGTTTTTCAGACAGCAACGGTTTCGTTATCGTGCTTCGAAATTTCACTTTATGAGCCAGTAAACGTCTTCTTATAGTATGACATGATATATTTAGACCCTTTTTAAGTAAAACCGCTTGCCCGCCACGCAATGATAAACAAGGATTCTTCTCAAACACCCGTAAAATCATTTTGTTCTCCTTTTTCGTCGTTTTCTGCACAGAGCCACGATCCGGCAAGTCATCAACGTTTTTGACCTCGGAATAACGTTTCACCCACTTACTCACAAACGCCTTAGACTTCTTCATATACTTAGCAGCCGCTCCGCGCGACATTTTTGGTCCTTTCGGATGCGAACATAGAAACACAGCTTCGTAACGTGATGCGTACGCGGCACTCATGTTGAAATACGCCCTTTTGTGACGAAAGTCAAACGATAACTAAGGCTTTCTAGACAAAGCATCTTGGGAGAAGAGCCCCGCTATTGGCTCGCGTTCATATCCCCCCTCTAACGGTTTCGAGGAAAAAGTTTTGCCGTACACGCTCTTATCAAACATACTGTAATATTGCGCGTTGCACGATGTGCTATTTCCGGCGTAATAGTACCGAAGGTCGCAACAATAGCTTCACGTACTTCGTTTTCTCTACTATTACGTCGATGATGGACTAAAATTTTTATATGACTCCATACAAAGAAATTTAGTACGTTTAAGTCTGGTACCGAGCCAAACAATTGAGCCACTACGATCCATTCACTTATCAGGATAACGCGCGCTTAATATATCGCGTACTTGCCGAGAAAAGTGCGCAGGAGCTCCGTCGTGCTGAAAAATCAGCTGCTCCCATATGCGAAGAGGCACATCGGCAAGGAGTACCGGCAACTTCCTCTCTAAAAAATCTGTATATATTGCTCTGCTTTATCATTTTTTTGCTATGTGGACCCGGAGAATCACGTGAACCTGTCATGGAAAATAATAATTTTTCGGCGCGCAACCGCGTGATACGTAATGTTTGTTACTCCGCTTCGAAATCGTTGCTAAGAGGTAAGCCATTTCTTTTACACACAGAGCTTGTCCTACCGCTTCTTGTGCGTTCATTCATTTGTACATTTTAATTATTTACGGAATAAATATTGAGAAAATTTCAAAATGATATATAACTTTTATGATTATTTTGACCTGTCCTACCCGTACACGGCGGTTGCTCGATCAGTTACTGGAAACTCTATATAACATGTCTTCCATTATTCGGTATTATTTATAAATTATATACAGGGTGTTCGGAAAGTACCGGGACGCCCGAATATCAGGAAAAATATAAGTTTTACAAAAAAATGTTTCAGACAAAAGTTGTGGCGTTTAAAAAGATGTATTTACTGATCACATCAGTTTGACCTTGGGTTGCGTAGCGAAGGTCAGGTCAAGGTCACATTAATTTTTTTAAATGGAA